GATATGTCCTATACCTAAGGAACTTAAGTATTTGAATATAAAGGTTAGTAATATATGCTTTAAGAATTTATGGATAGATAAAAAATCAGAAGAGAAGACTATATAGTAAACTTAAAAGAGGCTGTTGAATTTAAATAACTTTTTTGTATCCTAAATCCAAAATTAAGAATTAAAGAACCTTTAGTCCTTTCAAAATGTTCTTAAAAAAATATAGTTGATTTTTAATCATTTTATGATGAATTAAAGAAAATTGATTTTGATATTGAAAATATAGGATTAACTTTATGTAAATGTCTAAGTTGTAACCAAAATCCTATTAAGACTATAACAGGAAACATTCATTTTCATGAACCATTTTATGAGGCTCTGAATAAGTTTTCTAAAATAGATAATTAAACAAAATTAGAAAAATTTACATATAAATTTGAGAAAACAGAGGAAGAGAGTTATGTTGTCAGAGAATTAATATAGATTAATAATCCAAAAATTAAAGTTGTATAATAGCCCAAATAAATGGATGCACAAAATCTGATAAATGTAAAAGGAAATGAAGGATTTGTAGATTTAATGAATGATGAGGAATATTAAAAGTTCTTTGGTGCTACATAAATTTAAGGTTTTGCTTATAAAGCTTAAGGTATGTAATAAAATATTGGGGTTTTATAAATTGATTATGGCAAAGATGGTATTCGTGCGAATGTTGAAGAAGCGGTTGAGAAATTGAATCAAAATGCTAATAGTTAATTAAAATAATTTCATTTTAATGTAGTTGGTATGCAAGTTTAACTAAAAAACGATGTTTTTAATTAAAACAAAGGGGAGTTCAAATTTTAAAAATGAGAATCTATTAATGCATTTATCAAAAATTATGGAATATTTAAAATTTTTTTGATAATTCAAACTGATTCGATAATTTATTATTAAATTTAGTTTCCTTTCTAAGTCTGATTTTTTATGATTTAAAAGAGGTGGATTTTCTCAATAATATATTCACAATTGTTTTAATTTAAATCAAATTAAATAAACATAATTTTTGAAGTTAATATATATTAGTTTTCAAGCAAAAGTTTTTGTTAAATCTTTATTTTCATCCTTTTTCAGTTTTTCTAAAATCATAGTTAATTTTAGGAATATATTTATAATATTTTTTCTAAACTAACAAATTATAAAATCAGAATGGAATTAACTCATAAGGAAAACTAAAATAGTAGTTATCAGAACGTTTAAAGAACCTTTGAGGCCTCAACTTTAAATATTTTTTGTATAAAAAGAAATTTGAATTTAATTTCTATTATTATTGCTAAGAATTTAAAAAGCTAATTTGAGGGATCTTGAATTACTTTGATTTAATGACAAAAACAAAACTTTAATAGTTCAATTTTTTAATTTTATTTTTAACTTAATTTAATCATCATTATTTCAGCAATTAAAAAATGTTCATTGATAAAAAAAATAACTGTTCAAAAATAGAATCTAAAGCCTCATAATCTACTGCTAGTTACCTTATACAAATCTATCCTTGATTTCAGCGTGATTAATGTTCCTCTGCCATTTTTTGTTCATAATATAATCATCTATATTGGTTGCATTTATTTGGCAAATTTCAATTTGACGGACCTTTTATCAAATCTTATAACCCAATATCGAACCAATATTATCGAAAAGATTTTAGAGTTAAAGAGCAGCTCATACTCAGTTTTTCCATTTTATAGCTAAAATGACTCCTAAACTGTAAATATCACATTTCTAATTATAAACTTTAATAATTATTTTATATTTTACTATTTTAGATGCAACTTTATCCTATTGATAATTGTAATTGATTCTTCAAAATTCTGCTATAATTTTTCCTAACATTTAAATATTAAATAGTTTAATAATTGAATTAGGTATGAACAAGAATTTGCATCATAGGTAGTTCGTATTTAATATTTTTTATTTTTGAAAATCTTTAATATAAATTATCATTATTACGATTCCATATATTGTTTTATATTTTTGAATAAATTTATTTAAATTTTTTCTTTTTTTAAATATAATATAATAATATATTGAATATTTATTTTTGTTTTTTGCAATAAAAACAAATGCAATCCTAGCTATTAATAGTAAAATCTCTTTTATTTTGTAAATGTTTTCTAAAATATTTAGTCTTGAATGAATTTGCTATTTTATATTTTACAAAAAAGAAATAATTTCGATCATTAATATTTAATTAAATAATTCAATCTAATATATAAAATATTATATTTCTATAATTCACTCAGATAATATAAATAAAATAAATTACACAACTTTAAAAGCAATATTAAATTGTATAATTCATTTTTTCTTTTTTTTTTTTTTAATCTTTTTCATTAAATTCCAAAGCTTGAATTTCAACAATTCCATTTCCAATTTTACTTTAATTATCCAATTTACAATCTCTTAATGATAATCTCCATCTAGTTATATCTTTAAGTCCTAAATTCTTTTCTTAATGAATATTGTAGCTTGTACATTCGGCATCAAAAATATTAGACCTAGGAGTTTTATTTGTTTTTTGACTCTATTTTAGCTTTTCCAAATTTGCTTCCCATACCTCCTAAACAATTTAACCAATATTTTTTTCTTTCTCATATTATTATCTCTTGATTTCCTATTCATCATTGCAATCGTCTTCTTAGCTCTTTTATTTGCAAAACTCCTACCAAGCCTGTTCTAATGCCCATGCCAACTAAGTATGAGCCAATATCCAAGTTGAAATTTCTTATTTTTTTTAATTCATTATTATTATTTCTATTTTTTATATAAATTAATAAGTACTAATGAATAAATCAATTATTTTTAATCAAAAATATCAACACTTTATGCTCAAAAATTAAGCATGGCAGATTTATTATATTTTTACTAAAATATTATTCTTTATTTTTTATTAGTACCTTGATAGAATTTGATTATTCATATTCTGTTTTGAATATAAAAAATCTAAATATTATTATTATAATGAACTAAAATTCATTTTAAGATTAAGTCCACCCACAATTGAAGAGCTGTATGTTTGATACTCATATGCTAATCGATAATGTAGAGAAAAAGCGGTATTAGGAACCTGTAATCTATTATTACATGTTAGGTTGTAACTAAGGATTGTGTCAATCATCCAAAATTCTGTTTTGAAAAGAAAGAAGCCATTTAATAGATCATGTTAACTAAAGTTTATAAATGCCCATAATGTCAAAAAATTGCTAAAAATGAAAATGATTTAATTTAAGATTGGAGATCTTAAGCATATCAAGAATTCAATTAATACATTACTGAAGTCACAGTGATTAGAGGAATTATGATTAACAAATATGTCAGAAATAAAGCAAGATATCAGAACTTTTTTATGTAAGAAGTTTATTAGAATGAATTTAAAAGTATGTTTGATAGGATTAGTTAGGAAAACTCTATTAATTTTTTAATGAAAAACAACTTAAGCAGTGGTTAAGATTAGAATAGAAAAATTTAATTTTGGAGTTTCTGTTTGTAAGATAGAGTAAAAATTACTATTCCTGTTAGAATAATTGGATGTAAGCATTACGAATGCTATGAATTAACAAGTTTATTATTTTATTAGTAGTAAAACTATTAAAAAAAGCAATTCTTAGAATGCACTCAACCTGGATGTTCAAATAGATTAAAAATTGCTCATATAGATTACACTACAATAGACGAAACACAAAATTTAAATAATGGAAATTAAGCACAAAATAATGAGCCTTAAAAATTAATCTCTAAGGAGGATGTTCAAACATTATTTTCTGGTATTTGTGTTGATTTTGATTTATTAAATGCAATAAAAAGAAGTCATCCAAGTTCATACAAATTTTATTATAATCAGACCACTGGATAAATTGAAGAGGATGTACAAAAAAATGAGAATGGCAAAATTATTGATCCATTAATAGCGAAATATTATTAAAGTAATAAAGAATTATAATAAAAATAATAATTCGATGATTTTTAAAATTCAATATTATAGTCTGCAATATCGGTAAGTTAGGGAGATCTGTTGATAGATGATAAATAATTAGGCACAAGAATAGCCTTATATAAATATAGAAATTATAAAGTAAAAATGGTAGATCTTTTAACAAATATGATAATTGAATACCCTGTAAGATGTAAATTCTGCACTGATTTAAGTGTTTGTATGGATATGAGAAGTTATATTGCAGATTTTACTTATTAAAAAAAGATATTCCCAAATAAAAATTATACTTGTCCTCTATGTAAAACACAATAAAAGTCAACATTGATTAAAACAACAATTTAATCCAACATATATCTTGATTCAAACATGCTTTCATATATGTTTAAAGATATGTCCTATACCTAAGGAACTTAAGTATTTGAATATAAAGGTTAGTAATATATGCTTTAAGAATTTATGGATAGATAAAAAATCAGAAGAGAAGACTATATAG